TAAGTTTTACGGGTAGTGTTATGACTAGTTTTTTGTCTCTGAGAAGAGGGTTTAAATACTGAAATATCTCTCTTGTGAAAATTGGTAATCCTTTCGCACTTCGGATTTTTTTCTGATTGGGATAGCAAGTTTGACACTTTTTTTGCAGAAGTTTGTGGGAATTTATTTTAAATTTTCTTTTACATTATCATAAACCAGAAAATTCAGAAAAAGGGTTAAATAATGATGTTTGCGATTATAGTAAAATACTTAGATATTTGAAAATTAGAGCAGCTTGGACTGAGATTAATAGAAGTCTCCAAGGCCCTATAATATCATTCTGATTACATATGCCTCTTCATGGCTAAGTTTTGTAGCATATGATCTGCTTTCAAGATATAATAATATGGTTTTCATCATGTGTTGCAATTTCAAACATGAAAAAGTGGTGATATATCATGGGAAAAGTAATCCATTCACAGAGCTATTTCTGTTTGAGAGAGTGAGGAAGGGATGTGCTTGAGTTATAACCCCTGTGAGCTCCTGAAGCAGCAAAACTCAGACCGAAGTTAATGCAGACTACAAAATAAAGCAATTCCATTAATTTCAAAAGACCCCAAACTTTTCTCATTCTGATTATCTGACCATATCTTTATTTTCTAACAGGAAAAACAGTTTACTTGGAAAAATTATTTGCAGAAACTGCGTTTTTCTGTTTAAAAAAAAATATAAAAAGTTAATTACCAGATTTTTCTGTGAATCCATAATAAACCAAAAAAACCTCTTAAAATAATATTTGAAATCACTTTGCTGATGTATGTTGAATTTTCACATGAAATTTTATTGAGGTTTATAACAGCACAGGCTTCAGGGGCAAGCCAAGTGAACAGGAGATCAATGGACCTGCCTGGGATGTGTGATGGCATGCGTAATGAAGTCCAAAGTGAAGAGCAGCAGGCTCAGATGTGCACAAGCTGTTTCTGAGTCCCTGAGCTTTATGTACAGCTAGGCACTGGACAAGATAATTGTGCCTGCTGTGCAGCTGGAGGTGAGATTTGACAGCCCCTACACACACAGCTGAGTGGCCAGCCCTTTCCCAGATGAGAGACGTGGAACCCGAATGCTAATTACCAGATCTCAAACCACTATTGCAACCTGCTATAACAGCTCCCAGATGGGGCTAACAGGTATCCATATACACTTATCTCTTGCTCTGAAGGAAATTATTTTTTCCCCATTATACAGATATATGGCAAACCCTGGTTCTTCATTCCTGAAAGGTCCCATCCCTGAAAGGTCCCAGGAGGCCCAGCGCCTGTGGCCAGATCCAGCCTACAGCTGTGGTGATGGTTCCTCTGCAAGGCAGCCCTGCCCTGCCCTGATCACAGCCCTCTTGATCCACAAGCTGATGCCCATCCATGTGCCCATGAACATCCTGGCGCTGTTTGACATTGATTCCCCTCACCAGGCCTTATCCTGGTGCACATTCATGGGAGGTCTTCATAGTACCCTGATGTCTCCCACCATTTCCCAGGTAGCTGGAACAAGTGCTTCGGCAACATTAATGAACTCCTATTCTTTCCTTTCTCCTCAATGCAAAAAACCCAATGCTTTTTGTTGTTTTGCTGCATACTGTAGTTTGATGACATTGGATCCACCCAAGGGTAGGGAGACAACTGGCAGAAGTGTTCACTTTCCTTAATTTATCAGCAGTCCTGGTTGACCAGGGAGACCCCAGGCCTTAAATGTGATGCCCATCTATTAGTGGGGCTGGAGAGTGGATCCAGGGGACTACAGACCTGTCAGCCTGACCTTGGGCCTGAGGAATGTCATGGAGCAGATCATCCCAAGTGACCTCACATGGTATGTGCAGGACTAACAGGTGATGAGGCCCAGCCAGCATGGGCTGCTGAAAGGCAAGTCCTCTTTAAAAAACTTTATTTTTTTTTTATGGCAAGTTGACCCACTTAGTAGACAAGGAAAAGGTAGTGGATATTGTCTGCCTGGAGTTTAGTCCTGGAGAAACTGGCGGCTCATGGCTTGGACGGGTGCACTATTTGCTGGATAAAAAAACTGGCTGGATTGCTGAGCCCAGAGGGTGGTGCTGAATGGAGTTACATCCAACTGGGTCACAAGTGGGATTACCCAGGGCTCAGTTTTGGGTCCAGATCTGTTTAATACCTTTACTGATGACTTAGATCAAATGTATCCTCAGCAAGTGTTCAGACAACAGTAGGGGTGTCAATCTGCTGCAGGGCAGGAAGGTTCTGCAGGGCAATCTGGACAGGCTGGATTGATGGGCCAAGGCCAAGTGCCAGGTGCTGCCCCGGGGTCACAACAACCCCAGGCTGTGCCACAGGCTGGGGACAGATTGGCTGAGAACCTGCTTGGTGGAAAAGGACCTGAGCATGATCCAGCATGTGCCCAGGTGGCCAAGAAGGCCGATGGCACCCTGGCCTGATCAGCGCTGCTGTGGCCAGCAGGAGCAGGGCAGTGACCGTCCCCCTGTGCTCAGCGCTGCTGAGGCCACAGCTCCAATCCTGTGCTCAGTTCTGGGCCCCTCAATGAAGGCCACAATTAAGTCACCCTGAAGCCTTCTCTTTTCTAGGCTGAACAATTCCCATTCTCTCAGCCTCTCCTCACAGGAGATGTGCTTCATACCTCTCATCAACTTGGTGGCCCTTCTTTGGATTTGCTCCAACAGGTAAGTGTCCTACCCATGTTAGGAACCTCAGAACTGGATCCAGTACTCAAGGTGGAATATCATGAGAGCAGAATAGAGAGGCAGAATAATTTTCCTTGAACTTCTGCTGGCCATGCTTCTTTTGATGCTATGAAATTGAATTGAATGTTAGGAAAATAGATTAAATATTAGGAAAATATATTGAATGTTAGGAAATATTTCTTCTCCAAAATGGTTGTCACACATTGAAACAGGCTGTCCAGGGAAATGGCGCAGTCTCCGTTCCTGGAGGTACTTAAAATACATGTAGATGTGGTACTCAGGGACATGGTTTAATAGTGGGCCTGACAGTGATTGGTTAACAGTTGGTCTTAGTGATCTAAAAGGTATTTTCCAAGCTAATTTATTCCATGATTCCTTGATTCTATGATTTGCATTCAAAGCAATTCACAACTTCAAGATGTTTCTCACTTGAAAATTAGTTATCCAATTTGCTTGCTTTTTCATGCCACTACTACACACTAATGAATTGCATACTAGTAATGCCCACATATACCGTGTTGACCATGAAGCAGACAAAGCACCATTCTGTTCCCTAAAATATAAGGAGTCCAAAGCCAGGAGTTGCTTATCTGAGTCCTTTATATGATGTGTCAATTTATGCTCTATGTTACCCTGAAATGACGCTCTTAAAATCACATGTAGCAGCTTGTTGACTTGTTCACACATGGTATTATGCCATTTTTAAATGTAGTTTACAGATTTAAGATATGTAGTCAGGTGTTGATTCATATTTAAATGCTAGAAGATCAAACTGTGTAAACTGCCTTAGCAAATATTTTAGACGTATTAAGAAAGCAAAAAGGAGAAAGAAAACAAGTACTGACAACTGGTAGGAGATTTTATACTACACTCGACATGTAATTAAATATCTTTTACAGTTTCTGTTATTATAAACCACCAATTAGTGGTTAATATTATAAATTATTCTTTATGAACATGAAGAAAGAAAAGCATTTCAGATTTGTCAAATTGATTTTTATGTGAATTATGATTAGACAGGGAAATAATACTGCTGTATTACTGGAAGGACCCAAGCAAGGAATGCATATATGATTAAAATCCTGGTCATATAGTCAGTCTTCAATGTGTTATACCAGTATTTAAAAGACTTAGTTGTTCATACATCTTCTGCATTTCTAGTTGTCTCCCACAGACTTTCCAAACCTCCTGGGTTTTGTCATGGTAACAGCTTAATTTATCTCATTTCAGCCTGTGTGATGAAAATTTTTCAGAGAACTCTCTGCAGTGCCTCCAAACATTTGTTTGCTTTGGTATTCTGACAATACAGAAAAATTTCTAGTTCCTTTTATGACTTACTAAACTGAATTAATAGGAAAATTGGTTACAATGTCCATTGTGTAGTACTTTTGCCCCATTTCCTTCTTAGATTTGGTAGTATAAGGCCTATCATGGCACTTAGAAGAGCATTTTGAAATAAAAGTTTTCAATATTTTCTTGCTTAACAGACAAAAGATGGACTTCAGCATTCATTAAAAGCATACCGGAATAAGGAGATACCAGCCAGGCACAACAAATATCCAGATCCATTCTAAACTAAACTCAGCTTGGGAAGGTGTAGCCAGCAATCTTGGGAAAAATTAGTATTTTGTGTATGCCTTCAGCATCCAACATTTGCAACAGACTTTGTTGTTAAATTTTGCACTGAATTCCACCTAAGTCCATATTTTAATTTAGCATATTACTACTTGAAAATACTTTGAAAAAATATTTATGAACAAAGGCATTTTAAGAATTTATATTTGCAGGAGATGCAGCTAGTCCAGCAAAATTTTACATGTAGAAAACTGACTTTTAAAATGGAGCCTGCTCTTTGCCATTACACAACTAGGCTGTTGGAAATACTTATTTGAATTATTTAATTAAGAATTATGGGAAAAGAAATTATTTTTGGCCAAGATTGCTGATCACTAGTGAAAGCCAGCTGAGCTTACTATTCTTACCATGATGGTTTCATACAAGAATATCACTTCTACAGAGCAGTTTTTTGTTGTTTTTTTTTTTTTTTTTTTTTTTTTTTTGACGGCGCCCACTGTCTGATGTGCAACAAAATCCTGACAAATCTAAAGAAAGAAAAAGTTAGTGATTGTTCCCATGTGTATTCATAAGAATGCAGATTACAAAACCTTTCAGTGATATCTGTTGTTGGCTATGTTTTTACAAGCATCTTCTTCAGAGAAGAAAGCCAGTCAAATGATTACAGCTGAAGCTTTTTTCACTGCCACAAACACACACTAGACTTGATAAGAATCCTCACCTTTAGCCACCTTACTCCTTTTATCTTGGGAGACACTCATTAACTTTGGGAGAAACTCATTAGCTTCTGCTTCAGTGAGAGCTAGGCCAAAGCTGATCCGAAGTCCAAGAAAAATATTCAGCCTGGGTGGAGACGAGAAATTTGGTGAAAATTTGCAAACAAAAAAGAGCAAAATGTGTCATCTTACTTGATATAAAATGTTGTCCCACTCAGTACTTAGCACAGATGCTGCCTGAGTGAGTCATTTGTGCAATATACTATAAACACAAGTCAGTTCGTTTCTTGGAAAACACAGAGAGAAACTTGAGCTTGTTCATATTCGCAGAGCTATTCCATTTCATTTTGACAGCTTGGTCTGTATGAGGTTAGCAGAATTAGGACCAAATTATAAAAGAGTTGGTTTGTTATTGAAGTTTGTCTTCACAGATATGAAGGGCATGTCAAATGATTTTTAAAATATTGGATATGTCTTGTAATTAAAATTTGTTGTGAGTCTTTTTCTGCTCACTTTTCTAGGCTTTGATTCAGCAAAGCACTTAAACATGTGCCTGATCTCAATCCCATCAAGTAGTCTCATGGTAGCCAAGTGAAACAAGCATGTGGTAATGAATATGTTTAAGAGGACATGTGCAATTGTTTTGCCTATAAGCACACAGGATAGAGGTAATTATGTATCAATTTCTGTTTTAATGCTTAGCGTTCTTCTGTTTTCTATCTTCCTTAGGTTCTTTAATCATCTATTTTAAAATAGCATATCAAAGTATGTTACAGAAATATGCGATCAGACTGCTGCCAAGTCATTTTCAATTAAAAAAGAGGAATTTTTATGTTCATCTGAAAACAAGACACTTGAATTTATTGATAGTTTAATACTATTTGTAAACAGTTTATTCTGAAATTTGCACATGTACTTATGAAGTTATACATTATAAATTTGGAATTGTTTGGGGTTTTTTTATTAAATATTAATTAGCTCTGCTAAATGGCTTGGAAAGAATCAGCAGATGTCTTTATCCTCTGCTTAAAATTTGTGGTAACAAACTAGCTATTTCTAATTTTAAACAGGGATGACTGCCCAGAACCTGCTTTTGGAGTATCAAAACATTATTTTTCATGATATGGATAGAGCTTCTGAGTGGTTGTTTGCACTGAAAATTAGTTCCCATTTTGTCCCATTTTGAGAATAAAGGCTCTTCATGGCATATGGATGTTTTACTTCTTCATAGTACTACCTATGCTTACAGAATTTCACAGTCACAAAATAAGAGAGGCAGTAATGCTGCAGCCCCCTTACCCTCAAATAAAAATTGCTAAAAACTCAGCATTTTACAAGACTTCAAAGTTATTAAAATCTGTACATGTAGAAAATTCACATCTTTTCCTCCCTAGGGTTACTATACAAGATGGGACAACATTATATATTCTGTGTTGAATTTGTGTCAACTTCAGAGTGAAATCCATGCACATTATATGTTTTGCCCCACTGAGCATTAGATATTAGGCCCATGATATAACCAGGGCCTAACCTTCTGAGCTTTGAGCTTTCTCAGTGATGAAGACTTAACTAATTTTCACTCCAAGACATCACCTTGCTTTAGATCAGTGGGGAAACCATCAACCAGGGCAAAAGTTGGCCTATTGCAAAAAGAAGCACTTAGTCTTCTTGAAGAAGGGTCTCTGGCTTTGGAATTTGCTATACCAACACTTGACTGAAACACCTGATTATCATCTGAGTATCTGTCCAAACAGCTGGTATATATTTATTTGTGCATGTGTGAGAGTGCATACTCAGTTGATGCAGAACAAATGGGCAGTTTAAATTATTTGAGTTTAGGAATGCATAACTTTGAATCATGCTACTGTTTTTTAGGACTAAATGAAGTTTTTTCAAAATTATTAAATCATATTGAGGTGATTTGGAGACTTTCTAGCATTTTAAACTACTAAGCAGGCAGGAAACAAATAAATACTAAAGCTTTCTCTGATTTCAGATCATTACATATTCTCATTGCTACCCAATATAACTGCAATTCCTTCCTGCAAAGTTAACATTTTAATATAGCTCACAGAATTAATGTGTTAAAAATATCTCTATAAATGGTGTATGCTATATTTACTATATAAACTGAAACTGCAAAGGTTTCTGAATCTCCCAAACCCTCACATTATGTATTTTCTTTCTGTTAGGTTGAAATATAGGAGACCATTTTCTAATATGCTATGAAGAAGAAATACTTCTGATGAAATAGGACTATTATACTTGCCTTCAGACTTGGAGAATAGATTTCTGCTAAACATAGTGAAGGTCAGAACTGAATGGAGCGTATTTTGTTTCATACAGGTTGATACCAACTCCTAGAAGTGGCTTAATTGGCCACTGTTGATGGTATTGATAATGAATCAATGGCATTGTTACAATAGTGTAGAGCAGCAGGTAAGAGTGAGGGGCTAAGAAATCTATACTATTTTAGTATCTTGAAGTTTGTTGCTAAGCACTAGCATGATGTGGAGAATGTATTTAATGCCATTCTGAGCAGAAAAAGAAATAATTAATTGCATATTAAAAAAAAATGCAGCTGCTGTTTATAGAGTCACAATTATTGGAGATGATTAAAGATATGAGGTTTATAAGAGCTTGCTCAAAAAAAAAAAAAAAAAGTAGATTGCAGTAGAAAGAAAAGAACTCCTTTACAGTATATTATAGTCATCAGCAGTTCTATGGGTCTATAGTTGGAGTAAGGGGTAGTGGTAGAAAGAGTGAACATAGTTAATTGGCTTAAATACAAACATTTGTTCAGGATTTGTACATGCTTCCTTTTCAGAAAAAGTCAGCCAGTAGTTATCCTGTCCTGGGACAGACTCTTTAGGTATTTTCTTATAGTTTTGGAAAATCCAGAGAAGCAGTGTCATTATTGACACTGTAAAGGAGAGTAGGAAACAACTATTCACTTTATCTCACAGTACAGAAACTAACAGACACAAAATTAAATTATGGGGTAGCAGTCTTCATGCAAATAAAATAAGTTAATTTTGTGCAGTATTCATAATTAAGTTGTCCAACCTACTGCCACATGGTACTAGCAACGTCAGAGGCATTGATGAGTTCAAAAAGTAATAAAAGAAATTCAGAAAATAAAAACCCATTAAAACCTGTTTAAAAAGTACTTCTGAGTCTGCACTGATCTAATTCACAGACTGGGAGTTTATCTGAGAGATATCACTTATGGTTGCCCCATGCTTATTTTATTTATCTAGGTTTTTCTTAGCCCACATCACATAGGTTCCTGGATGAGGTGAAACTCTGATTTGACTGGGCATAACTACTCATATTTTCTTATATATTCTAAAAGTCTTTATGTTAACTTATGACATGATGGGACAAAATTTCTGTTTAGGTTTGTTCTTGACTTGATATTGCTTTAATACTGCAATATGATTTTTACAGACTCCCCTGTTAATCCTTCAGACCTGGATTTAAGGATATTAACTAGAACACTACAAATTTTATCATTTTATCTTCTTTATTGGTCCATTATATGGTTTATCCAGCAAAAGTCCTTCTGTATAAAGCAAACAAATAAAATTCAGACTTCTGCTGTCACACCACATTGATACCCTTAAAATGTCACTTGAATAGGTAACAGAAAGCATTTTGACAGTCACAGATTACTTCCATTGGAAAAGCAGCACTTGATCCAAGCTAAGGCTATACTTCAGAACTAGACTCCTCCAGATAGGAGGAAACTAAGCCAAATCTAACAGAGAACATCAAAATTCAGTGAATTCCACAGGGCAATAATTAAAGGAATTGTTATATTTTTATAATTTTTTTTCTTAATTTTCACAGTGATGCAGCTCTGTGAGTGAGTACTATGAGTAAGAAGTGACAAAAAAAGCCCTACTTACTATCTGTTCTGCCTCTTCCTTGATGAATTTATACATGGAGGAAAAGTGTAGACTTGGCAGATATACCGCTATTCTTTCCCCTGTCCCAAGTCTAAATATCCAGCAAAACTGCTCAAGAATTTCACAATATAGGATTTTGGCTTTAACCATCTCACTGTGTTAGTATTTATAGCTGAATTGTAACATTTTTTTTTCAAAAAAGTGTAACACAAACTATTACAAAATTGAAAAAATTAGTAACCTGGGTACTGTTGGTACTCTAGAGCACACCCACTAGTTTTTCCTTATGGGCTAGTAATTTTGAGTTTTTACAGCATGTTTTCATTAAGTACAGCTATTACTGCTGATCTGTCTTTGATGCTACTGGAATTCTTCACATTAAATGAGTTAAAGTTTCAAAGCTGTAGTTACCTGTGTAGACTGGCACAATGCATTTCCTACATTTACTGCTCATTAGCTCATGTATGAAGCAGTTTCTTGCACCTTGTATATCTGTAATGAATATTAAACCATCTCATCTACTCATAATAATATAATGGCTCCTGTGATGACAGACTGTTTGCACAGGAAGCAGATGTTGATGTTTACCTAAATGTAATTTGCAATGATGAGTGGTGATGAGCTGAGGTTTTTTTTTGCCAGAACAATTCAGCCTGTGTTAAGTTTCTGCAAAATCCATTGTGGTCACTTAGGTCATTACAGATATACATTTTATCTCAGTGAATAAATGGGACTCTATATCAAGATATTAAATTATGCATATAAGAAAACTATTTATTTAAAGATGCATATACTAAGTTTCTGAAATGTGATGTCAAGGAAAAATTCTGCGTAAACTTCAACCAAAGATGAAAATAGGACTTGTTGGGTTTATAAATGGATTTCTGACAAATAAATATAGTAGGAATTATTCAGAGAGGGTGCCAGTAGCTAGAAAATGAAATCAGTAACTCATAATGTTGAAATAAAACACATTTATATTAGTAGAGGAGTGCCATAAACTACAATGAATTACAAAAGGATGATATGAATTCCCCATCATTTAAAGTCTTTAAATCTAGGCTGGAAATCTTTCTAAAAGATGCTTTTTAGTTCAACTTGACAAAAATTGATGAATGATTTTTTTATAATCTCTGTTATGCCACAGATAAAAAAGAGCAATACTGGGATTTCTTTTGGTTTTAGTATCTGTAAAATCTATGATATAATGAAATACAATCAGTTAAGCACATCTATTTTACTTCTGAATTCTATATATATTTTTTACTTTTGGACACAAGTTACAACTTTAGACAAATCATGTTTCAGGAATTCCTGTTTTGAATTTGGAGCTGTTCTCTAAGTCCAGATATTTTGTCATCTCTTTCTAATCCCAAAACAGGTCTCCTCATCATCACACTCATATTTGGAATTGGGGACATAACAGCATTTCTTGATGAACAATAATTTATTCTATTAGTTTCAGGCTCACTTCTCTGAATCTCCTTTTTTATTGTTGGTATATTGCAGATATTTGGTTTTTGTCACTTCTTGGAATCCTGAAATTAGGTCTTAATGAAATTCATAGTCAGCCATAAATCTATAACTGTAATGATCATATCAGTGCTATATACAGAGAGCTTCAAAAGTCCCCACTCATTTCTGAAAATATTGTGTTGGACAGAAAAAATGTGGAAGGCATGTCCAGAAGCAATCTTTTCCTTTGTTGTTTCCTAAATCATACCACTGGCTCAAGAGACAATAAACCCAGGGAAAACCCAGGGAAAATACAGATCTGCTGTCTCTCCTTATTTTCATCAAAGTGGATGTGGTACTGCTTGGCTGAAAGTGGTATTTTAAATTTAAATCAGTTGCAGTTACAGTGGATTTATTCACATTTTTTCCAAATTTTGGGGTTCCTTGTAGAGTCATAGTTGTCTAAACATTTTAAAAAATTAGTCCGTGCTTCAATGTGAATAGAGATTGTGGTCTGATCACTTGCAGAATACTGGCCTTAAAATTTCTGTTTCAAGACCATTTGGAATGATCTGGAGTCTGACATGCATTTGTAACTGTATCTATCTATATTTTTTTTTCTTTTGGAAAGACAACACCTTTCCACTCTCTAAGGTCTCTCTTTGGGGGCTCTTTTGAAATTAATTCTCTGTTTTCTTTTGCTAATTTTGTCCTGCTGCATCTCTTCTGTATCCTGAAAATGCTTTTCCCTCCTTGACATTTAGACTCTTCAAGTATTTATAGATTGTTACCATGTCCCCCTTTAGTCATTTCTTAGACAAACTATGCATATTTAGTGCTTGCAATCAATCCTCATACATCAATCATTCCAGAAGTCTAATCATTTTTGCAGCTTTCTTCAGATCTTCTTCCAATATGTGAATATCCTTCTAATAAGGTACCTAAAATTAAATACAATGGGTCATGTCTGCAGCTCATGTAAATCAGTGTGACTGTGCTGAAGACTCTGTTGATTCATGCTAGCTGAAGTTGAAAAGCAACATTTCTAGTACAAAGATATCAAAACCGTATATATTTTGTCAAGTGAGCCTAAAACCACACAGAGCTTTTTTTTTTTTTGTAGTAAAGCTTCTTTGAATTAGTTTCCATCACTTAGCTACAATTTTGAATAGAGAATTTCCAGTTTGCTCCCTTTAAAACATCAAAATAATCTGCATTTTTGCATTTTTATTAGTGTTTTGAGGAGCTCCTTCAGCGTCCCTGACATACTTCCTTCCATCCTCAGTGCAGCCATGTGTCCCACACCTCTAACTGGAGGTTTCTGCTCACAGACCATGGCCACACAGAGGTGATGCAGGTTTAGAGTGGCTGTGGGTAGGATGGTTCTAGACCAGAAGGTATTGAGCATCAATGGCTGGCATCCTCCTAAAGCATATCTCCTATGTCTTCTCCTAAAAGAAACATTATAACCCACCTTGCAGAAGCTTATCTACCTTTGGAGTCCTCTTTGTCACTCTACTGGTTCCATCAAACACCCATCCCTCATCACATTCATTCCAAAATCAGATATTTGTGTCATTATAATCCAACAAAGGTTGTTCAGACTCATAGTAGAGAAAGATATGCTTCTTTTATAAAACTTTTTTTCAAACTAGCTATGTTTAGAGGGCAAAGTAGCAGCCCTAATTAGGCTACCTCTAGGCCTCATGTAATGTCAATGGAGATGAATATACTTTTTTTCTGGATAATTAATACAGCATTTAGTGGAACAAATTTATACTAAAAATAAGTAAAAATGAAATTTATGAATAACATACATAGCAGTGATGGGGTATCACTGCTAGCTGCAAAATGGTGACTTTCCATTAGAAATACTGTAGAAGAGCTTTCATAATTAAATTTAACAGGATTCCTCTCCTGTAACATATTACACATACACACACACACACACAATTAGTGAAGATACTTATTTCACTATGTTACTATGGTCAATTCTGTCCTGAACTGACACTGTTTAGGGGGAGAGTTGTTGTTTCTGGACTATTATTTTCCACAGTACTGAATTTATAATTTTTCTTTTTTCACTAATGTGCAATACAACTGGCTATACTTTAGAGAAATCTTTTTTCTAAATGCTTTGTGAGTGAGGTGGCACTTGGTTTCAAACCAAGACAGCATTTATTTCAGGGAGTACATTGTTCAGACTAAAACTTCTTAATTTGAAAAAGTACAGAAGCTAGGCCACTTTGATAATAAAGGAAACTTATTGACTTATTGCTGTTTTAAAAACTATTTAGCACATGTGCTTCCCCCCTTCTTTTTTTTTTTTTTTTTTCAATTTACACAAATTTCTCTGGTATTTTCATTTTTTGTGAAGGCTTCCTGCTTGATTTCCTTCAGAACCATTTAGTACATCTTCTATTTCCATAGACTTATAATTCCACAGGGAGGAGTAAAACAAATGCCATCTAAGCTATAAACTATATACCAAAAAATCTTTCCATCCAACACTGAAGAAGTCCTGTGATAACATGGAAGTCAAATAATTAGGGCCACAAAATTTGGATAAGGGGGATTAGTATTTTTGTTATATATATATATACAGAAGAGAGAAAAATCAAAGCTTTCATGAGATGCTATATATATGAGCATGGTGTTTCACCACAGAGATGTATATAGAGAAACACATTTTGAAATTTCCCTCAGCATTAATCAGCATATGATCATGGTTCAAATAGATTAGACTTCCAGATGCCAAGTAGGCTTCTGAGATAGACTGACAACCAATTATAAAAGCTATGGAAATAGAAATTTGGCATAGAAAACAATGAGGTTGTCTGATGGGCTTGTTCTCCCTCATGGTGCTCCTGTAGTGAGTGGTACTTCCCTAACTACTTCTCATGAATTCTTTACACCAACTATAGGGATTCATACTGCACTCTAACTGTATATTACAGCTAGATCTCTGTTTCTGACCTTGTGCACCTTTTAAATGTTTTGCAAGGAGTGGTGTGAAGGGAGTAGAAAATACTGATTTATGAGGTATGGTAAACTAGCAAGCTAATATTGAGTAGTTTCCTCTCTTCCTTGAAAGCTCAAGGCTGCATTCTCAGAGGATTTATTGTGGCTGACTTTGGAAAAACAGAGGTTGCTCCAGTCACTGATGGTAAACTAGTAGCTACATGTACCTATTTTACATCAATGGCTCCTTGTCACAGTAGGCAAAACAGGTTTTTTTTCATTCTCAGGATGAAGGAATGAAACTGAACTGTGTTTCCTGCTGGAACTTGCTAGGAAAGGGGAGAAAAAACAGTAGGAAGAAACAGCAAAAATATCTGAACAGTATATTACCATTGCCAGCTGTCCGTTCGCCCATGTCTACAACTAACACTGCTTTCTAGACAACCTCAGGACATCACATTTTAGCCTGTTTGTCTCTTACAAATAATTGGTATTTCATCTTCAAGACTGGGGTATTAAGGAATAATCCTCCCTGCCTTAAAAACTTGTCTGTGGAGCCTGCCTGTGAAGAGAAGGAGAGGAATTCTGGGACTGATAGCGTCACTTGGTAATTGACTGACACTAAAACGGTCAATGAAATACAAAATACTGCTCAATGGCAAAAGTAATCATATCTATGAAGATACAAATATGATTGCAACATTTGTTACAATTGAAGGAATCACAAAATTGCTATGATGGTTCTTTGAAGAGAGCTTAATGCCCAGTAATCTCAGAAAGGCAAAATGCGATACTAGAAGTTGTTAAGGAAGGAAGGTAGAATGTAAAAGAAAACATCATTAAGGCAGCATATAAATCACTATGACATTTATATTTTTTTAGTAATTCAGTGCATTCTAATAGTCTCATCTGAAAAGTGTTAGGCAGAAATAGAAAAGCAGGAACAAATGTGACAAGGATAAGCAACAGTGCAGAACAGCTCTGTTTTTAAGGGAGATTAAACAGAGTAAGACTTCCAATTTGGAAAAGCTGTGATATGGTAAAAGTTTATAAAATCAGGAGTGATGATCATTCATTAGCTCTCAAAGAGAGAGCAAGAGGTTGTCAAGTGATATTTTTCAAGCAGCAGGTTTAAAACAAGTGAATAACTTTTTTAATATGATTGCAATTAAAATGTAGAACTCATTGCCACAGGGTATTATGAAGAACAAAGGTAGAAATGGATTCAGACAAATTTAAGGAAGACTAAAAAAATCCCTCAGGGGCTGTTAAATACAAATATCTGAAGTCATGCTTAATTTAAGAAATCTTTAAACTAGTAATTATAAGATATTTATAGCATTAGAATTTGTCTTGTTTTCATATAACTTCTTTAAGCATCCAGTGTCCACTGCTGCTCCCTCTCAGATCACTGTTTCAGGTCTTGCACTACAGTCCTTTCAGGTGCTCCTCTATCACTGTCTGCTAAAAGAAATGCCAGTGGTCAGAAGGAAAGAAGGCCACCAGGTAGTGTAGAACCTGTTTTGAGGAGTCAACTGGGCTATAAAAACAACAAATTCTTCTTTTTTTTCTAAATGTTGCCTGCAGAGCTTATGAACTGAAGCTTTTCAAAGCTTCTGAAACTAATATTTCTGTTCTTACAAATGATCTGCATGTTTGTGAGGCAGAGAGAATGAGTGTGTGCAGCTGCATTGTGATCTCTCCTACACGTGTCTTATCAATGTGATTCCATTGCAACCTCCATCCCACAGGTATACTCAGGGAACTGTTCCTACACCTAGTTTGATCCTTGCTTTCAGCAAACATTATTCTAAAATGTGCCAGCAGCATAGAGGTATTTCTTGTGAGGTACCAGTGACCAGATGGAAAGAAAAATTTGTCATTCAACTGAACTTTTGGATGTATTAGTCTCAAAACAGTTCAGGAAAATACTCTTCTGTGTGTAAACCACAAAATAGAGAAAAATATAAAGATTTAGATACACGCCTCACTAACATTTTCAAATACCTCTAAATTAATCATACTTTGTTCTATTTTTAATTCTGCCACATTTTTGTGGCTTTTAAATTTACCAATTACAGTGACAAGTTTTGACTAACCAGTCAAAACTTTTTTAAAATTATTTTTTCCTTAATAATTTTCTAATTTTTCTGAATAGGAACTTTTAATGCTGCATTTCTGCCAAGATTTGTCATTGATGTGTGAGTCCAGAGATGTGATTGACTATGAAATTTTATTCTTCACAAAGTAGGTAAGGAAGTAAGGAGAAACTAGTAATTTCTACTTAATCTTTAAAAAACTGGAAAAATACTGAAGAACTGCTCTCACAAATCCAGTGTACTCTGTTCCTTCTGTAGATCAAGACAAGGCTGTAAAAGAACATAAGACTGTAGCTTGCAGACCAAAGCCAGATTTTCCACACAGTACTATCTGACCATTACTCTTCTATTCTGCTCATTATAATTTAAGTAAAGCACACTCCTTGTCTAAGGCTTCAAAAGGTTCACCTCTCTGCTTTCTCTGTTTTGGTTGGCTTTAATAATCAGTCAATAGTAGCAATACCCTTAACTACAGATAGTGTCCGTCTAGTCCAAACACAGAGGAAGCAATTTATTCTTATTTCAAAATTATACTCTGGTATAAAATCTCATTTCTAGATAATATTACTTTAGGAAAGAATTTTCTTTAGGAAAGAAAATTTCCCTGAAATGTAATTGCAGGTTTTGAAGTGGACATTATAGAAAAATAGACAACTTCTCTACTTTCTCTTTTGTTAACCCTTGTGAATTTTAAATTTAAAAATAAGAAAGGAGCAAGTAATGTCTTACCTTTTAAAAGTAATTTGTTTCATATTGTTAAGCAGCAGTTTTGCTATTACATATTTATTCACTTCAAAGCATGACCATGCTTCTTCATCTCCAAAGAACAATTTTAGCACTCTACTGCTTTAACACAGTAAAGCTGGAAGGCAGTCAAGGGATGTGAGGAAGTAATTTGTTGTACATTTAATGGTGTGAAGTATCCACCAGGGAAAACTTAAAAGATTTTTCTGTTTCCTCACAAAAGTGTCCATGAGTGAAATTCCAATTTCCTGAGTGGTTCTCTGATTAGCTTTTCACAACTCTGTCCTGTGTCAGACAATTGGCAAGAAAACAAAGATCAGGCTTTTGTTGATATTCATGAACATTACACCTTTATCATCATCCCATTGGTGACGTGTCCCAGATTTGCTATGAGGGAAGCTCCACAACTGCTGAGCTTATCTTCAGGAAGCAGTCCTGTGGTGCTCTGTAACTGCGTGAGGCTGGAGCTAATCTGCTGCTTAACTCTGTTCCTACGGGGATGCCGAGCACTGCAGCAGCTGAGCGCCAGCTCTGCGCAGCTCAGGCGCTCCGTGGGCCACAAGCTGCTGCGCATCTGAGACATCACTCACCCACTGGTTCCTCAAAGCTCCCCTTGGGCCTCCATCACACAGGAGCCTGCATTAGCAGACTCTTCTGTGGCCCAGGGTTAAAATGAAGAATGTCTTTCCTGAAATCCCCATCTAGTTCTTCCTTAGAAAATAAATACAAAGCTCAACAAAGAACAAAGCCCTGTTTAGAGGAAGCTTTTAAGGGATGCTATGCTAGAGTTGTACTACACAATTCTCAACACACTGAGGAGTTCAGTTAATAACACAATGGTCCTTTAAGCAATAAAACCTCTTTATTTTTTGAGAGAATTCCTGGAACTGAGGGAGCAGATTGATTTACTTGTAACCTGCACTGAATCGGGTATTGCATATTAGAGCTGACCTTCTGTCATTAATCTGGTTTAGTATTTGCTTTCCATTAAATAGAGAAAGGCTTCCAAAGAGCCCCTTGATGCATCTTTATGAGACATTTGTGAGTTGCTACTTGTCTTCATACCACCATGTCTCTCTGTGTCATGAAGTCAATCTTATCCTTAGTTTTCCTTAAATACTTTCTTTCATAAATACAATGTTCATCACAAAAAAGGGTGTTTTGATTATTACTAAAATAAAGCTCCTTGGATAAGTGGCTTTGTATGAAACTTATATTTTATTTCTGAGAGCAGTGTTTAACCATAAAAAAACTGTCATGCACTCCATTCTGCTTACAAATAGCAATTATATCGCCACTGTGGACATCCTGTTTAAGAAAAAAATATGTGGGATTTTTTTCTTGTTTGGGCAGCAGGAATAGATGCATGGATTTGCATACTCACAAGGTTCTTGTGTGTTGCAATGAAAATGAAATTATTCTTGTATCAACCTGAAAATGTATTCTTATATAAAATCCCACACATTCAGTCTTAATGCTAAGGTATTAGGGTTAACTAACAGTTTATTAAGTGCTCTTAGAGATTTCTTCTATCAATGTAAGCAGAAATTATTTCAGCATTTAGAAAGAGCAGTATGTACTAAAGTGGTAGAGAGTTGGGTTTGCTATGGCTATTACTTTAACATGTTTTCTGATTAATTCATTAGTGCGTCATTCCTCAAAAAGGAAATGACACTTCACGGCAGTAGTCTGAGAAAATCCTGATAATATTTTAATCTACAGTATTTTCAGCAAACTGCTCAAGTTTTCAGCAAAAACGTTTATCCGATGGAGTTATCTTTAAAAAAAAATTGCATTAAGTCTGCCTCACTGCATGTCATGCAGAACAAAATTCAATATTTTGGTCAATAACTTGGCAGCAAGATAAAAATGTATGATCTTCCACAACAGGTCAGTTCAAATCCAGTCTCCTGTGTGAAACCATCCCATACAGAAAGTGAAAGGAACGTTTATATGAAGAAGGCAGGCTTAGTGACATTTTCTCCAGCTTGTAGTAGTCAAGAGCTTTACCAGTTTTAGAACCAAGAAAGTTATTTTTTATAATGCCTTTTAAAAAGAACCAAAATCATACAACAGACAAAGACAGTAGAAGGATACATTTGTTCTTTAAGATGTTGAGTCTGAAGGTGTTGTGGTTTGCCCTGAAACACAGTGGTGTTCCACTTGCCAGGTGACTTTCAATTGTTTTTTTTAATCAAGGAAGACTCTTTAGTTTGCACTTACCAGATGAGCACAGGAATTGTGCTTCTATCAACTCAAATAAAATGCCACGCCACAAAAAAGCAGTTGAGAATTATTTTTATCCTCCCCCATCCTACCTGTCTACCTCTGTGTCTGAGATCATTATCTGGTGTACTGCAGTGCTGGTGTGCTATCACTCTGGAGATTCTCAAGGAAGAGTGAAATCCCTCAGGAGAAAGATAATGGTCACCATAACTGCGATGTTTATGGCTGTTTCTCAGATTCAGTAGCATCAGATGGCTGTGTGTGAGGTAAGTGATGCAGTCCACTGTCACTGGGGAGCCATATGACATTGCAATGACTTCTGAAAAGTCCCCCTAGGCTGGCTGTTAGTTCCCTAACAAAATAATGCTACTACTCAACAGCACCTAAGGGTCTCCTTTTCTATTGAAATGCCGAAAGAGAAAACAAAGAAGTGAAGGACCTGCATTCTGTAGTTTATAGTATTTGTTTTGTTCTAACACAAGATAGCTGTACTGAAGGAAAAGAATAAAGAAGCTAGTGATACTGTGAAAGTCAGAGGCGAAAAGGGAGATTGGCAAGCACTGAGCCAGAGGCTGTAATCAATTAACTGATTGCTGAACTTCAGCCCCCTACATTACATCTGCCAGCAGCACTGAAAGATGTACCGCTGAAAATTCCCCCTCCCAGAACCACAAATCCTGTGAAATTCTAGTCATAAATACTTTAAAAGGAAAGGGTCTGCTCTAGTATAGATTTCATCACCTTGATAATCAGCAGCCTTTCAATAGTATCCATTTATAAATAGAAGATCCTTGGAATAGAGAGATGTGAATGCAGATGTCTGACGTAATAAAGCTCAAACTAATCTCCAGTATTTTATTAAGAAATCATTAGACTGAACTGCTTCAGGTGAAATCTTTCTCCATTGAAGTTAGCAGCAAAATTCCCTCTGACTTCAGACAGCAAGAAATAAAACCTTTTCAAGACAGTTATTAAGCTGCAGAACAGCTAAAAGGTAAGGAATTAATTTTTATTAAATGGAAATCTATATCTATCTCACAAACATAACTAGAGAAGAGATTCTATTGATTTTTACCTAATTTGTTATATTTACTAATATGAAGAGTCTTTGCGAGTCCTCTTTTATTTTCTGGCAATAACTTCCTATGATTTTTTTTTAAATTTTACTTTGGACAATATGATTTTAAAAAGAAAATAATAATCTTCTTACAAATAAACTGGCAAGTAACTCAACTTTCACTGCAGCAAACTAATAAATCCTACCTAGATTGTTGCAATGAGCAACATGGGAAGAGTCTTTTGGCAAGTGTTTCTGACTCAGAGTTTAAAGAGATATGTCTATTTTCAATGCTCTCAGCTGGTTATCCCAGTGCTGGGTGGGCCTAATCTGATTGCTGGGGGATGTAGTCTGTGTTATGAATTCTATCTGTCTTTTTGCTATACTTATATAACTCTTTAAAATAATTTTAGAAAACACTTTAAAAAGAGCATTGTCAAAAGAGACAGGTAAACAACAGATTATCATCATAAATATTCAAACAATTTGTAATCAAATGGCAAAATTGTACTGATATCAGGATTTAAGGATAGCAAGGCATTTTAGCTTTGTGTACTTCCTTTGGGAAAAGACGTGAACTGGCCACAAAGTCCTTGCAATGACCTGGAGACAGTTGCAAATGTAGATTGCAAACAGCTCAACTGAAAGAGAGACTTCTTTCCTTGTTGTAATGACTAGGGAAGAATTGGTCGAGAACATAAAGTTAAGAGGCACAAGTGAGTGAGAAAGCCATGCAATAATAATTCATGAGACATATGAAAGTCAAAGGAAAGAAGCGCAAAATAAAGGCATCAGATTTCAGGAAAGTAGGCTTCAGTAAACAAGAATTGTCCCAAAGGCCATGATGATGATAAAATCATCATCACATAAAAAAAAAAAAAAAAAAAAAAAAAAAAGGACAAAACCAAATTAAATAGCAGTTAAAAAAAAAAAGAAAAGAAAACCACTCTAGAGATGTCTGACATGTTTTTTTAATATTTTTTCTGAATCACTCTTATTTATGAGGGTGAGAGATGAAATATTACAGCAATGAGTAACAATGTAGAAAATTTAAGACCAAGGCTCTAAGTGGGAAGGAACAAGTTAAATACCTATTACTGAGTTAGATGTTTTCAATTAGCTGTGATATTTGAAGAATAAGCTGATGGAATATCAGAGATGATAGAAGTAGCTCTAAAAAGACAAAGACAATAGGTAATGATCAAGAATGAATGCAACAGTGATCTTTGAAAGTAATGTGAAACAATTTTAGGAAATTAGATATACTTTAGTTCCTGGAAGAATACTAGAACAAATAAACTACTTGTAAATGTCTAAAAAACCCCAAGGAAATTATTCACTGTCAATATGGATTTGTCAAAACAAAATTGTATCAGAATAATCTAATTTCCTTCTGTGAGAGAGCAACTGCGGATAGAAAAGAATCAGCAGATGTCACACATAGCTTTTAACACTGCCTCATAATATTCTCATAATTAAGCCAGGGAAGTCTGTTCCAAACAAAAGTATAGAAAGTGGGCACAGAAAGACTTGAATCGCTTTCCTGATAAACCACTTGCCAATAGTTCGCTGTCAAATTGGAATGATTCTGGGAAGTAGTGTATGGTTCAGGCTCTTTTATTTTCCTTCAAGACTGGAGAGAAGTAATTGACATGGTGCTTACTAAACCTGCAGGAAGAATCATAGGGTATAACAAATTGGTTGACCTTGCCAGATCTGTGACATTTGTACTCCTATTCAAATGTTTATCTCAAGTTCAGAGCAGTAGTTCTTTGTATATATTAAGCATAGAAATAAGTATACTCACACTTTGTCTGTATTAGGTGCACAGGGTCAAAAAACCATATTATATTTCCTGTAAAATGTTTGTTACTTTTATATCGGTCCTATCTTTCATTAAAAATTTGGTTTGTTTTAAAAGTTCTCTTTAAAAATTGTCATAGCCCCTAATAAAAAAAAAATTAAATAAGCTGTAATTGAGAATTTTTAAAAAGTAACAAAAATATTAATATTTCAGTGAGTTTTGATAATGAACATTGTTATACTCAAAAAGGCTATGAATAGATTATTTTTCATCTTCTCTAGCCCATACCATTTGGCTAGATGTGTGAATAATATTGCTCATTTTCCTTCTTGAATGAAGAAGCAAATATCTTCAGAATAAAGTGAGAATCTTTAGAATAACACTCCTCACTTTAATTAGTAGCATTCATAATTTGAAATGTTGTTTTTCACTTCCATCTTCATTATCTACTTAAAAGTTGCTGCTCCTATAAATATTTTTCAAATTGCATGGAGGAAGATAAAACATACAAGAATGCCAGGAAAAAAAAAAGGAAACTGTAATGGTTTTTTTTGAAAGGCAGTTTCACTTTTGGAAACCAATTAGCATATTATTTTTGTATTATTTTTCTGCTTTATAGCTTGCAAAGTTTGCATTGCCCACCAATAGGTGGCACTAATAATTTCTGCATTATCCCCTTAGTTCTGTTGTCTTTCAACGTTGATGGAGTTATATGCTAGTATATTTACCATTTCCATAATCTTTGCTTGATTTTGATTTATATTTAATGTTTAACAAAAAAAAATTTTTTTATAAAAATACAGGTGCTAGATAACCATGTATATATTAAATTTACGGGCACAGTACAGATACATTAATAAACTCTAAACAGACAGTGTTTTTTGCCTGAGGGATCAAATATTAATGCACTCAAAAAAACAAAGCTGTAAATTGCTGATGCACAGCATTTGAAGGGTACATTTAACATTGAAATAAAATGGATAGAGTATATAACTCCAATACAACGTTCATGTTTCTCACTTTAATTTATTTCTTGGAGAAAGATTTCAAATGTTGTTTTTAGAGTAGTTGAAGTAAATAGCATCATGCAAGCTGAATCTTATGGTTGTGATTTACCTGGCTAAATATGTCTATGACCACTGCTTGATTTCTGAGCACCTGCAATTATCTGTCCTTTACCTGTACGCTCTGATTTCTTTATTTCCCTCTATTTCAGCTTCAGGGTGGCACCATCATATTACAAGAAGTGAAAGATAAAGAAAAGAAGAGCTGGTTGGCTGAGTTTCCCATGCAACTTCAAGAAGAGTCAAGCCTCTTTTAGCTCACCAGCGACAAAGGCATACGTGCAAAGTTTTTAAAAGAGCATAGGCTGCAGTGAAAGCTGGATGCTACCAGCACTAGGTTCTTCTCTTCCTCTCTGTCTGAGTAAAACTCAGGTTATGACTTGCTTTCAACATCCTGTCAAGATCTGCTAAGTTCTTTTGTGATCCAGCCTTTGCAGCTGTGCTGCACAAGGTCTTTTATCATGGCTTGTGCTGTGTTGCAGACCCAAAATATACCTGTTGTGCTTAACAGATACTGCAAAAACCATTGTCACTTCAAAGAAGATCTCATTTCTGACAGCAAGGAGATGAAGCCAGTTATTTCAGTAACACAGCTTTCAGATCTCAAATTTAAAGATTTCTCAAAAAATTTGGTTGAGCCAATTTTCCTCTTTTAGACTATGCACTAAAAGTCTGCTTTTTGGAAGACTCTTCCCACACCAGCTGTCTTCTGCTATATCACTGCAGCACTGGCTGTGGTAGGCATGCTGGGATGGGAAAGAGATGTCAAATAGAGAGGAGACAGATATGCACATAGGAGAACTGAACTTATCAGTAGTGTATGGCAATTAAAGGTATCTTAAGACACACCCAGTGATTACAGGAAGATGGATGTTTCTACCATATTTCCCTGTGAGATGAGTGTATGCTTTGAAATTTCTGGTAGGAAAGAAAGGCAGCAGCAATAAAGTTAGCACACAAACACCATCTGTGAAAGCCAGAAAGCATCTATAGATCCTCTGCATGCTAAAGGCTTATTACATCATGTATGAGAAGGGATAGAAAAAACCCAGAAAGAGGAAGGAGATAGGGAAATACAGAGTAAGCCTTCCCCCACCTCCCCAAAAGAAGCATGATAAAGCTAAGAAGTAAATATGAATTAAAAAATACTGTACAGACCATCTGGACACTTATATGTTACTGCCATACAAATCATATGCATTTTCCATGTTGTGTAGATAAAATGAATTATTGCCAATTAACACAAAGCTTCAGCCTGAGGCACTATCCATGCATATGTAAAAACTACATTTATCCTGAAGACACAATTTAAATAGAAAACCTGTAAGAAGGTTGCACTCCAAACAAGGCGGGAATATGCTGCGAGTCAGGAGAATTTTGCTGGAAATCTGTAAAACACATCTATTGCCTACAGAAAGGAGCAATAATAAACCCCTCCAGCTCATGCTCCTTGCTTGGTACCCAATCTTTAAGTCAGTTCCCTGGATTCCTCTGTCTCTGCACAATAAACATCACTTAACATATCTATTTTCTTCCCACTGTGCTCTACTCCCAGTACACACCAGCAGGCAACACCTGAATTTACAGGAGAACACAAAGGCAGAGTCATCTAAGGTGAAACTTTGATTATCCCAGTGGTAAGTTTCCATCATTTCACCCAACTACAATGACTCCAGCTCTCTGGGACATTTCTCTTCCCAGGGCCACTCACTTTTCCTCCTGTGTTATGCAATATCAGTAAAAAAAATTATACTACAAGGTCATCTCTGGTGCTGTTGGTTACAAATTTCTCAGTGGAGGTGGTCATTGAGGAGGCTTTGTTAAGCTGCCATAGCCAGAACAGCTCTCCCCTCCCCACCTTCTTTTTTTTTTTTTTTTCTCTATACCCTCCACTCTGCTGCTTTATACTTTACATATCCTCTAAAGACCTCTCAGAGTGTAATTTAATTGCTGCTGGGGGAAGAAAAGTGCCCATGAATGGAAAATTCTACTTTCTGCTCTTTCTAGTAGACCATAGCAGATAATATTTTTCTCTGGAGACTTCTTTTTATTTATTGATAGAAGGTATCCATCTCAACTCACCATTTCCATGCCTGTACCTTCACTTGTATTTTTCATTTTGAGCACTTCATATACATGCTGCTAACTGTGGATTGCAGTGTTACATGGTTTTATCCCTGTAATGCCATGATGAATTGGGAAATGTCACTGTACTGACTTTATAGGCAACACATTAAGCATCAATACATTGTGAGCTCAAGCTTGTGGAAAAGCCATTCATTACAAATGTGCTAATTCTCTATAAGCATGTGCAAAGCTTGTCCCAAATGCAGCATAACTCAGATCTGGCTTTTCCTGGGATGGTTCTGTAACATACTTAAAAATAACAGAAAGAAATTAAATGTTACCTTCTTTTACTATATACTAAGTTTATGTTAAACATCTACCCATTTTTGTTGACTTAATTTTTATAACATTTTACCCTAGTTTTTTACTAATTTTCCCAAATTTACAATGAAAAATATAGCAAAAAATAAATGGAAACTTATTTATTTTTCTTTTATCTTAGGCTGACTGATGGAATATCTTTGCCTTCATTTCTTTCAGTATTTTTGGATGTGATTCTTGATTTAATATAGCATCTTTCATGCTTAGGCATCTCAGAGAGTGTTTAACAAAAAAAATAACACCACATCTGCTGCAGTGTAATTCAAGGTGTGTAGGATTGAAAGGATAGAGGAAAGCGTGTTTCAAAAGGACAGAATGAGAAAAAGAGGAATGCATTAGCTATCATTTTTACTTCAAAACCTTGTGTTTCAGAACCATGAGGTGCAGCAAATTACACTTAAACTCAGCTATTAGTGTTGATATAAGAGATTCTGTTGTGACAACATTGGAGTAAATACCATAGGTATATTCATGAATATAAAATTTGATATGTAGCAAATGCCTGTTTAGGAACAAACCTAATGTCATTATAGATTTTGGAAATATTGGCTGACATATTTGGCAATGCACTGTCAGGATGAATTAGATCCCACCTTTACTCACAGAACGATCCTGTCGCAAATAGAAGAAACTATCTTGCTCTGTTGCAGACTGCAACCCATTGTCTGTGCCTCAAGGGTGGCAAAAGAATGACCCAGGCACAAAGAAACATGTCATGCCAAAGGTAAACTGATGCTGTGCGCAACACTGTTAAAAAGTATTTCTCATTATTGGTCCAAAATACAACGGACTTCATTCCCTTTTGTCTAGTTTTGGACTCTCCACCCTGAGTAAACTCACAGCACACATCTATGCCATGCCTTCATCTATTTCTAGTCAGCTTTATATTTTGTAAAGTATCAGTTTGGGCCTACCACTTTGCAGTCTTCATTATTTTTAACACCACAATATCTCAAAAAAAACCAAAAAAAAGGAAAGTGGAAGTAACAGTACAATAAAGCACACAATAAGTTTAGATTTTAAACAACAAAATAAAACAAAACAAAAACAAACAAAAAAAAACCAAAAAAAAAAAAACAAAACCAAAAACTAAATAACACAAAACAAAACAACAAGAAGAAACTTATTTAGGGACACGCTTCTTTAGATTTTAAACAACAAAATAAAACAAAACAAAACAAAACAAAAAAAAACAAAACCAAAAACTAAATACCACAAAACAAAACAACAAGAAGAAACTTATTTAGGGACACGCTTCTCTCCATACAGCAGATGAGAAGGGTTTAGGAATTGAAAATGGGATTCAAAACTATGATATAAATCAGAATATTAAGTCAGAATAGGTGTGATAAAAGTTGAAGTACACCTGAAATTCTGTTCCTCCTGAGGAATTCGAGTATTTATCTCACATTGTACTAAGATATATTCAGGAATCTCAGTCAATGGCTCATACAGAGATTTTTTTATTCTTGCAGAAATCCACAAAGGAAAATTTAAAATCCCAAAGAGCCTAATTAATTATGAAATTTGCTTCTTAGCAAAAATTAATAATTAATCATACATCCTTGCTCAGGAAAATCATCGGTAACCAGGTGCATAATTTCTTGTTTAGCTGAAACATGAATGTTGGGAACCCGGAATTGTTTTGATACAGGGCGTTTTGTTATACTCGCTTCATGCTGAAGTTTTAATAATAGTATAACCACAGTAATTACATAGCAACTGCTAATGTGAACATAACACATGTAATGGAGAGACTTGTATAGCCTGTAGAAATTAGGTGCCAAGGGTGGGGTTTGTCTCATCTAATTTTAGAGCTCTAAAGTGTTCACGTCTGTCTGCAAGCTGGTCATCCTTAGACTTTTCAAAAGAGGAAAACCAGTATTCCTTGATATACAGCTGACCTATTTCAAATTTCTGCTTTGAGACAGTGTGAACTGTACCCCAAAAGTCCACCATCTCTCTCCAGAGAGATGAGGGTTTAGCTGGGATGTAGATGCACGTGCTATAGGCATTTATATTTAACCAAAATGTGGTCTACCTGCATTGCATTATCTGAGTTTATTAGGAAATCCTTTGTAAAAATCCCAAATACATAAGGGCAATAAGTATTAAAAATTTATTCCTTGGAACACTCCTCTAGGCAATATTTATAGTTACTGTGCTGTCAGTCCCCTGGCAATATAAAGTTATGAGAAAGGAAGTGAAGCACAGAGCAGTCTGTGGAGAACAAAATTTAAGTAAATATGAATTTTTTCTGGAGTAGTGATTCAGAATCTGTTGTCCCAGAATCTGAAACTCGTACGGCAATTTTAGACTGGTTTAGTTAGGCTTGAAACTCACGAAAACATTCCATTTTGTTCAAGGAAATCTAAATCAAATGCTAGTCATGAAATATCTTTGCAAAGTGGGATTTAGGAAAATTTCCTCTTGTTACCACAAATAAAAATTACATGCAAAATTCTGAAAGAAAGCACAACTGCTTTTTCCTAAAACAATGTCACCAGGGCATAATTGATGTTATCTTTTCCATGACAACTTGAGGGATTTTTTTTTTTTTAATTGTTTTATCAGCTGTATTATTTTTCCTTTCTAACTTACTGACTTCTACAGTGAAAGCTGAGTTCTAGACATGATGCACAACCTGTGTATGTAAATGACAATGGATTATTGTTGTTCTTATTTTCTCTTTCAAAGCTGAAAATATTTTTTTAAAAAATCAATAAAATATTTTAAATTGTTTGACATAACCAGCTTCATAGGTGTTGTAATTAAAATCCTGGTCAGCACTAGATCCTCCAGATGTTATGATTAGTTCTGTGAATTGGCCTAGTCTGGGAAGTGTCTCTGTATATTGGCCTTCCTCTTCCAGGACAGGTTCTTTGTTTGAACTATACTCAACATTTACAAAAAGAAAAATTTTGGTATCTGATATCAGATTGCTATCAATGATGTCAGAGACAAATATGATTGAAGTAACTCAGACTCAATATTTTGCCAATAACATTGCTGGTATACACTCTGCAGTACATCTAGCATCTGAAGCATTTGAAATTCCTTTACTACCAAGCTTAAGAATTTGCAGACTTGAAGAGCATCTTTCAGATGTGGGATCTGTGCATAGATTCAGTTCTTCCAATCTTATTTCAAACATATATTGCATTTTTTCTTCTTCTTGTGAGACAAAGACACTTTGTAATATGAAAAAAACAATTCTAAAACAACGTTATTATTCTTAAGAATAGAATTTAGCAGAGTATAGTTGTATGTAAGCAACCATTTGTCTGGGTTTGGCTTCATTATTTTGGCTTTTGCATACAACTTAATAGAGTTCAAAACTTTTCTGTTGGCTGCTGCCTTCCTTTATGTGCCAAAAGGAATGTCTTTAAATGCAACAAAAACAATGGAGAAAATTGAAGATTGCTATGAGCCAAATCACAGCTATATTCAACATCATCAACAATAAAAGTTGATGTCTGAGAAACGTCCTTTTTTAGGATACATGATGGTTTAGTGATTAGGAGAGTACTCACTTAGGAAGTGGAAAACCTCCTTTTGCCTGGAGGGATCTCTTATGACAGCTCTCACACATCAGCCTTTTCCTCCCATGAATTGCAAGGTGTTATTAAGCCACTTTACAATTCTTGTTGAAGCTGGACTGCTGTAAACCTGGAAAAGCATGAGCTGTGAGATCAGTGAGAAAGACTGAACCAAAGAGTGTAAAGAGGGCCCCTTTGCAGTGAGAGATATTTTTTATATATTTTTTTTTTTCATTTTGGTTATAAGTTTATTTCTAGTTTTATCCAGGGACAATCTACGATATAAAATACTTAAACAGTCCCTGGAACAGAGATCAGAACTCCAGATATTTCTTTGTTAAATTATATAGAATAAGTCAGTAGACCATCATACTTCACTTTGGTGTCATTAAATGTTAAAAGGAAAGGCTTGTGCTATGAATCTGACTTGTACTGAGGAATAGATATGGAATTCAAGCTGATGTTCAGAGAACAGAGAAATGATAAACCTGTCTATCTGCATAATTCTGACTTGCTCTGCACCATCATATGAACAATACAGATCATATGAGAAGAGTGTAATGACTCCTGTACTAATGTGAAATTTCCACAAATATACTCATACTAATTATGCAAAGCAGTCATATCTTGTTATTGATAGATGAATTAATGAAGTTCGAAAATTTGTTCTGTAATTAATTTCCACTAGCCCTCAAATAATTTTAATAGACATTCCCTCCAATTTTTCGTTTTATAAAGAGTAAGACTTCAACAACATCCAAGCATGGTCTCAGTATTGATGAGAGGAGACAAGAAATTATTGCTTCATGTCTTTTCACCACTACCCTGTTTAATTTTTTTAGGGATTTATTTCATTGATTTTCTTGCTGGTGCATCAGTGAAAAGGCTCACTATTTTTTTGATTATCACCTATCATCTTCTCATCTCTTTCACAGCAATTTTTGTGTTGGTCACTTTACTCTGTAAATGTGGTCTAAATTATTTAGTTCAAAACAAATTATTTTGTCTGTATTAATTTTTTTACCATTCTTCTGAATGTAACTGAGTGATGAAAACTTGCATTCGTACTATGAAAGTCTGGAAAGCTGGGATTTGACTAATTACTAAAGGAAGTTGCAATTATGACAAAAAAGAGTGCTGCTCTGGAATGAATATTCGTGTTTGAGACACATTACAAATATTTCTTATGTCTTCTGCCTACAGTTTTGGAATAGACAAAATGCTGGTATGTCTGTTTCTATGGCTCTTGTGTAGATGCGTTTTCAGTTTATCCTGCCTGTCTTCTCACCTATTCTTCTCTGTGAGGAAAACATATATCTGCTTAAAGTGAATATCTTAACAAATCTCATGGATTTATTACTCTGCATGAATAGCCTCCTTTTTGAGCTTGCTAAACTTAATGTAAGATGAATTAATTAACTCCTCCTAAACAGTTGGAAATAGAAAGTCAGCAGTTTAGTTCCATTTGCCACATTTTCCCAAGGGTAATTTCATTTTTTTCCTCTAGGACATTCAGCCTAATAAACATCTGGTCTAGGTTTAAAGGAACAACAAGAGCTACTACAGTATTTTTTATAACTCGGGAAGCTTCACTACGTTGTTTGCTGTCATGCTTTACTGAGATCTAATAGCACTTCTGAATTTCAAACAATGAAACCTCAATGCTCAATTACTAGTATTCCTTTTTGATAGGAAGAGGAGATATTAATAAGAATATGAATAAGACCTCCCAGATCAATCAATCCAGTCCCTCCTGCCTAGGCAACCATATTATTCTGTTTTTTTATCAAAACAACCTTTATCTGTGATGGACTACAGTACTGTGGATAGCAAAGCACTACATGTAAGATGCTAGAGCTTTTCATAAACAATACTGCTTTTTTTTTTCTCTAGATGGGAAGAATATAGAGAATATTTTCAGCATCTGTGAGTTGAGAACAACCCTATCAATTTTAAAATAGATTGGCACTGTTACCAGAAGAAAGTCAACCCCTTGCCTTGGGAAAAAGAAGACACAAACAAGAGAGAATATAAATGCAGAATGGTCAGGATTATCATTATATGAATATTGTAGGTCTTATTTTGGACTATGAAATCATAAAAACATTGAAAGTTTTGGGTTAGAAGGCACCTTTAAAAATCAGCTAGTCCAACATCCCTGCCATGGACAGGAACATTTTTCACTAGGTCAGGTTGCTCAAAGCCCTATCCAACCTGTCCACTTCTGATGTTGGCCCAGAACTGACATTGAGTTTGAACATTTTCAGTGATGGTGCATCCACAAAATGCAGTATGTTGAACACTTTCCTTTTCCTGGACAAAATAATTCTGGAAAATGGTGACAGTGTGCTGCAAAGGCATGAGCAAAATAGAAATCAACAATACTTCACCTCATTTAATTTTCAGTGGTGGTCTTTACTTCCACTGGATTTCCTATTCCTCCTAATTCTTAATACTTTTATTACTTTTATTACTTTATTACTTTTCACATAGAATAAGCCGTTCTAAAATTTTCAAATGAAACTCCCATGGAAGATTTAAAGAAACTGATCAAAGAAGGTTTTTGCATTGTGTAGGTATAATAAAAACACAATAAACTTTTTGAATTGTTTGGAAACTAAGGGAGGTGCCAGTTGGTAGGACATTTGGATTTCTTTTGAGCCATTAAACACATTTCTGTGAGAAATAAAAGATCAAGAAAGGTGCTGATGGCGCTTTTGTAAAAGTCCAAATAATGGACATAAAGGGCTCCTCACCACCTTCAACATAGGTTCCATAGTGTTAAAAAAGCTAGAGAGAAAACAGAGTGAGCAAAGTGCTGAATGTGACAGAAAACCTATGCAGTGATGGCAAACTGTGTGCACAGATAGTAGAAAGGGGGTAAGGGGTCTCATTATAAAAAAGATGCGACTTAGCAAAGAAGACAAAAAAGTGGTGGGGTTTTTTGACTAGTTAGTTAATTATTGTCCTCAGAGACAGAGTACCCTTAATCCTAAATAACCCCAGGTAATCTGTTTTGTAGTAGCATTCATACACCATTTCAAATCAATGCAGGGAAGAGAGTGCTTTAACCAGCATGTTACATACTTTAATCCTGCAACATAATCACTTTGAAATCCTGTTGCTTGAGGGAAGCAGCAGATTTCAGATAGTACAACATTTTCTAATGAGGAGGATGCAGAGAAACCTACTGAAATAAATCCTTGAAGAGAATTTGTGTCTTAATGTTTTGGGTTTTTGCCTCCTGAATGTGCATTTTATTTATCATAGCTATTCAGGAAAGGTCTCAGAAAGATTTTATTCCTGAATGGATCTCCACAGCTGTATAGCCCTGACTTTGTTGCTGCTTCAGCTAAAGCATTTGCATATAAATTTTAAAAATCAATTCTTTAGGCATTTCCTAGAATTTTTTTTTTTCTATTTCATCACGAATTCTTGGCAAGATGAAAAAGAGAAATAGAAACAGATTTTCTCATTTATCTGGTAATTATTTACTTTTGTTTTCAGACAAGCTTTGAAAAAGAAATATATGTCCCCAGAAGACTCAAGGAACCTCTTGGTATTTCTTTTGTAAGGTGCTCACTAGATGAAACTAGTCTTAGAACAACTCAAAAGAAGAGGAATTGCAGATGCTTGCTAAATCTATGCCTCATTTATTGAAAACCATGAACTGCAATGCATGAGGTCTCCCGTAGCTTTTAATATACAGTTTTTGGGTTAGTAATCACATTTGGTTTGGTGGAGGAACAAAATGGGTTTTCCTGTTCTGGAAATTCAAGTCAATAGGTGATTGATCCTGCTATAGCCAAGCCATGAAAATAATGTGTAAAACAGCTTCTGGCTATTGGCTGAGATCCACAAAGAAAGGTACTTAATATCTGTTTAGGCTTCTAATTTTCAGCTGCCATAGTGGTCCTCATGGAAACTCCGGAAAAGTCAAGGCAGAGGTAAAATCTCCATGTGTGCTTTATAGCCAACATACTTGAAAGATATTAATTTATAACTACCGTTCCAAGGTTTAAGGAATGACCTGTATGTACTATCTCTAAGACAACAATTTTCATGGATTGCAAGAATTTTCCAACAGTCAGGCTGGTGGGTTTTTCTGCTACTGACATGTTCATTTTTACTTCTAAGGACTCCATGCTGCTTCCTTATCATTAGACACTTGGTGACAGTAGTGTCAATCAAATTCTGGTCATTTGACCAGCTGCTCAGCATTACTTGATTAGTTCATGCACAGCAAGATTAACATACTTCTCTGAGTGCTTCCAGTCCTTTATCTTAATTAATATGATGAACTAGGTCATATTAAATGGAGAAAAATGCAGATGGGTGTGAATGTGGCCTGCAAAGGAATATCCAGCTCACAGTAACAGTTTCTATCTGATATTATATGTCTTGAAACATTCACACAGACAGAACTGTTCTAATTCACTGCCAGAGAGTTTTTCACTAGTTTGATTCTTTGCTCTGCCACTGATGCATTGTATAACCTTGGGTAATGCACATAGCTTATGCATAATTTGGACTCCTTGTTATAATGGGAATAATATGATTTATTAATCCCAGAGAGATGAAGTGAGATCTTTTCAATATTGGGGAAGTGCAATATATTTTTCACGTCTGAACCTCTCTTAACCTCCAAAGTATTACAATGATTAAATATTGATTAGTTTATAAAAAGCTATGTTGCAGCATTTACAGCCAAGTGAGGGAGAGTGTTAATCTGTGGCAAGCAAGAAAAGCATGAAAAGCTGACGGGGAACTGATGAATCAAAACACAGCCATATAGATCTTTTGAAATGCCTTTATAGATCCCATGAAGAGCAAATGCAAGGGCTTTAGGTGGATTATAAGTGACAGATGTAATAACAGCTATTCCACCACTGTCTTTCCCACAATATTTGTATTATCTCCCAAGAAATGCATGGAGGCAGGTAGACTGTAGCAACAAAGAAGCAAAACCACATAAAAATTGCCGTGAAGGTGCTCCAGAAGGTGGTTGTTGTCCCTGCTATTATACGAGTGACAAAACAAATTTGTTTTGGTAGCAGAATCTAGAGCAAGGATGAGGTCCCTGCTGTCTCTGTTCATCAGCTAGATGTTGCCCTAGGCCAGGGCCATGCTGTTGCTAATTTTAGTTTATTTTGCTACTCAGCTCAGTTTGTGTCTGTGATTCACCTAATCATTATGATTAGCAAATTCACTTATTTCTGTTTTGAAGACTCCATGCACGGATCTTTGTAAAATGTAAAATATTAGGTGTAGATGAAAGCAAGTTCTAAATGTCATATGACTACAATGCTTCACTTAGAGAAGTGAAGGAATCTTAGAGGAATCTTTCTGCTTAAAGGAAATCAGAAACGTGATTCTTCATGTTTCTCTACACTGAATAAAGAGTGATATGCCATGGAGAAGCAGGAGAAAGCAGTGAATGAAATGCTCTATCTATACTTAATCTAGAAAATCAATGAAAAATTCCTTTGGAATAATTCAGTCCTGGAACAGACCTCAGGAATTCTTATAGCACCTCCCTGTAAACCAGTGCAGCACTTGCTTTCCCAAAATAATCCTGAAATATTAAGGAGGAAATCTGTGACTAAGCCCTTAGGGTTAGATGTCAAATACAATATTGAAAAAACCCTTTTCTGCACCTGGTATTCCCTGCAAATGTCTTCTTGGAGTCCTGAAGTTGAAGGAAACTTCGTGCCTTCAGAAGTGGAAGAGTCTCTTGATCACTCTGCTATGGGCTTTTCTGGAAGATGAGGATTCAGTATCATTCTTCACCTCACAGACATAAATTTACCAGTGAATGATAATTACCAAGGAAATTTCAGATAAGACTCTTTGCTGTTAAAATTTTTCTGGTTTGTGTTCTGGTTTTTCTATTTGCAGTGATCTAGGATGCAAGAAAGAAAGACCTATAAACCACATACTGTTTTCCATAGGTTTTATCTGTAAGTGGTAAGTCAGTATGAAAGTTCTATAAAATCTTGTATTTAGATTTGTATATCTACTCAAGATTTTATTAGAAATAAAAATGCAATGCTAAACTTACTACAAAATGAACCAGAAAAAAAACTATAATCTGCTTGGTTTTCAGAGGAAACTTTTACTTTGTGGGTGACTGGAGTACACAGTAGATTTGATACACACCCAAGCTTCTTAAAAGTGATGTCATATTGTGGGAGGTAAAATTCTACAATGTACTTTGCATGTTGAA